CAGTTGGATGGCCGAATTACATTTACCTTGCGTCAGGCATGAAGGTCAGACAAAGGTCAAAACCAACCTGTTTTATTACTCTAGGGCTCGCTGTATGGGATAGTTTCTGCTGCTCATTCCCAATTTATTGATAAAAACTGCATCAGACATTTTGTAAGGTCAGAATAGGTCACTGACCCAAAATTATGCATGTCACTTTTTAGGAGCATAATGTCTAGCGTAATCTTTTTCCCTCCTTCAAATGCAAAACTCAAAGCAGTATTTTATGATTTTGGTTACCGTTACCTCTGATTCGAAAGGTGAAACATGGTCACTGACCTTAAACAAACATGTGAACTTTTTCCTAGAAAAGTCATCTAGGTAACCTTGTTTGACCTTATTTGATCCGAGGGGCATGGCCTAGTGTCTTCGAAGTTCGACTTAAATGAGTGCGCGTACAGGCCAACACACCCTGTGAATTTGGTGTTTCCTAGCTATCTTAGTTCCTGAGATCTCAGGGTGAGGTCAAATTGGCCCCCCACCCGAGCGAAGGGTATCCAACCGGCCACCCGAGCGCGTGCTGAACGCCACCATACGGGTTATGCAGAAATATCTGGCAGCACCATCTGAATGACGACTGCTGGGTTTCCATCCTAAATCCATTCCCAATACCATCATATCCCCCACGAAGGTAACGCGGTGGGCGGGAGCTCCGGCAGCGATTTTCCAGCCGGCGCTGATGCGTCAGTTGTGATTGTCAAACGCAGCATTAGCGCTGAGCTGATGCGCTACAGGCCAACGCTACGGCACGGCTTACCTTTTTACCGGACGTGATCTCCGCGTCGATGTGTCTTTTTATGTCTGTGGTGGCTTAAGGAACACGAACCGCTGACGCCCGCTAATGGCACCGCGAAACCCAGTGGGGTGATCAGAAGCTGCGGCGTTATGGCTTATCGGAGGACGTCAAATATTTTCTTTTTTGGAAACGTCGCATTCAGTACACCCGCAGTCCATTTCGTATGCAACCATAGGAAAATAGTACACTCGTGGTAAGTAAGACAGCACTGACACTCCGCATAGGTACCCTGAAGCTTCCATTGTACCTCTTACATCCTCTACACTTCATTTAGGGTACTGTTTGGGGTACAGTTACAGATTCGGCGCACACGGGTTGGCTGAAGCAGCGTAGGTGCCGACACGCTGGCGCATGTTGCGTGACGCGTACCATTATGCCAGCCCTAGCGTGGGATGTTCGGACGCGCATGCGATGACTGACATGCAGCGACCGCTACGGCCCCTCACTCCCCATGCTCCTCGTACCATGCGGCATGGCGCGTAGTTATAATCCACAGAGTGACTCTGAAGCGTAGCTTCGTGGTGTTCCCCAAATGAGACCATGCCCATCGTCATATTGTGTTCCATTGCGATGATTAGAGACTAGTGAAAAAGCAGTTCGTTTTTCCATGCTCCTTTGAGATGAACATTAGGCTTGATTGCTTTGTATATCACACAGTGACAGCATCCTACAGACAAAGAAATAACCATTTTATCGACACATCCATTACATCATAAGTTATTACTGGTAGCAGCTTTTCCATTGACTGCCATTCCACTATAAGTGTGTACAAAGCACGTATACACTTTGTTCTTTTCCACGTCAAAATTTTTGGCTAGGATTAGCTCCGGCATGTCTTCGTCAACTGGTACAAGCAGTTTTTGTCATCTTTTTTGGCAGCCGGAAGTTTCACATTCATCTTTCACACTCCTCAGCAGAAAAAGAACTTCTCAGCAGATAGCAGTGTAACTTCCACCCGCTCAATATAACACAGATCTGTCACGCTCCGAAAGTTTAAAGTTCCTACCTTATGCAATCACAAGGCTATGGTTTGTTCTCATGAGTATGATAGCAACAATATACAAAATTAGCACACCATGACACAATGTGGCTATATATATATATATATATATATATATATATATATATATATATATATATATATATATATATATATATATATAGCCACATTGTGTCACGGCGTGCAGTGCACGTATTGGCTGAGTTGGGGTTGTCTCTTTGTCACCATGGGGTGACAAAGAGACAAACCCTAGCTCAGCCAATACGTGCATCTAACGCCATAGATTAGAAATTATTATGGCACAAAGGCATCCGTCGAGAAATTTGCCTGCATAAGGTGGGCAGCAAATTAGGCCCAACCGTCCCAACCAGTGTCATGAATAATGCAGTACAACAAACAGTTCAATCATATGATACAGTGTAATGCAATGTTTGAGTTTAACATGCAAGTAGATAGAAAAGCTTCTTACAACGCTGACCTGTTTGCTACTAAAAGCTGTTTGCTGAGAGATGACAGGCGATTGGAAGAAGTCTAAGGATGCACAAATTTTCTGCCTTTCGCGACCATCGGGTGGGTGGAGATGGAGGAGAATGGAGGAAAGGAGGCAACACACCAGACTCCTGTCACTGCCGGCGCTGGACAGACGGTTGCAAAATAAAGTGTGCCAGGCAGTGAAGACCGGGTGCCAGTGACGAAAGTGATCTTCGGATGCTGCTTTCTGATAATGAGCGTGTTGGAGATTTTCATGTCAACCACGTACTTGCACCTGTGCAGAATGCTGATGTGCGGATGGTTGGTAAGAGGTGCGTTTTGATGACTGATGGACGGTGGCCATCTAACGCTGTGCCGGCGGCCTGATTCATGGCATCACGCAGATGCTCATTCAAACGTAAGCGCGCGCTCCTTTCCCTTCGATGTAAGTTTGCAATGTAAGTTTGCTTGCAAAGCCCGCATAGGATCTGACAAAAGACTTGCTTGGCTGCACAACGATCTTTCGGTCCGATATTACATGTGACACATGCTCGGATATTCAACGGGACAGCGAGGCCGTTCTAGTGCAGAACGGGCCAGAACATTACTCATGCTGTTTCGATTGGTCCAAGCATTCCGAATTTGCAGCCTAAAAGAGCGTATGACGCCTTGCACCATTTGAAGCCAATAAGAGCGCAGTGGTGTCTTGCACCATTTGAAGCTTAGAAGAGCGTATAGCGCCTTACACCACTTTGAGGCTCAAAAGAGCGTATGATGCCTTGCACCATTTGATACCTAGAAGAGGCAGTGATGCCTTGCACCATTTGAAGTTAGAAGAGCGTATGGCGCCTTGCACCATTTGAACTCTAGAAGAGCGTATGACACGGTGCACCATTTGCGCCAGATGATCGTTAATGTAGGGAAGCGCCAAGTACGTGGTGTTCTGGTCTATACGAGACGGCTGTTTCGCCTCATTGTTTTTTCGGCGCCGTCGTATTTCATTGGTCAGTCGTGTGATGATGTTTGGCGGTAGCCATTCTCCTTGAAGAACTTCTGAATTTTGAGAGCAGTCCTTTGCAGCGCTGCTCCGTTGGATGACAATCGGACGGCTTTGAGAATCTGGGATTTCAGTTTGGCGTGTTTCATCTGGGCGGGCTGTGCTGACGTAAACGACAGTATAATGGGCGCGGCCATCGGTTTACTGACAGCTCTGTGCTCTAACTGCGATCCATAACTCATCACCGAAAGGTCCGGTCAGCCCGACCAGAAGTGCTTTAAATTTCTTGACATGTTCGGAACAGTGCAAAGGGATGGCCAAATAAAAACAAAACCAAAGTGTTTGCAGGTCACCAAAATAGGCATGACTGTTCTGCTCTTCCGGAGCACATGACATGTGAAAGACATTAATTTATGTTGTGTCTGTTCTGCTGTCTTATTTGTCATAGCTGTGCCTAGCTCATAATTTTGGTTAGGACGCCTTTTAAGACACCTTTTGTTGCCCCTAATGGCCTGGTATAGCTTGATATAGCGTGCCTGACCTTGACTGGAGGACGACCAAACTAGTCAGTGAATAACATCAAATAAATCCAGAGCATGAAAGCAGCTGCCAATTGCTGCATATTGCAACAAAATCGTCTGACCTGACGTGGATTTCCTTACTTGGGAATAAGTTAATTTGATCACCATCAGGTTCTGAGGATTTGGCGATCATGAGAAGTTAATACGCATCAGAAGCTACCCCCGAAAATTGGAGGGAGTTCCTTTGACCTTCTCAGGTTGTCGCTGGCGACCACACGGCAATATGACAAAGATGCTAAAGGCTTATCAAACGTTGGAAGCTGCGAACATAACCTTTCTCTCACAATGGTCATGAGCCGCGATGGCATTGGAAAAATATGATATAGCTGAATATTGGTGAAATGGTGCTTACAGCCTTATGTTCACGCACTAAGATGATGTATCAGGCATTTTAAAATTTATGTTATTGCCTTAGAACTTTCATCTAGATCTTATCGGAATTCATTCAGGAACGCGTTGTGATGTGAAAGCGTTCGCAATCACCCACAAACAACATGATGTTTAAGAATGCTCAGTATGTAACCGCTTTAATCTCCGTACTTGCATGCAATGCGTTCTGGTGCCAACGATTCACGAATGTGGGTCGGAGCCTTGATGGTTAATGTTTTTCGTGAGACGTTTGAGCGCAAAGTCTTAGCTCCGTTGCCTTACTCAGTAAATTGGCAATTTTCAGCTCGCGAGCAAAACTGCGTGAAACTCACTCAACTAGACATACATGACGAACCGCCGCCAAGTTTGAGAGATTAATTCAGGACAACTGGGGGTCTGTATCAATTCCCTCACACTGGCTAATACAAAGTTATTTCCATAAGTTTCAAGGCTCGCATAACACGAAACAATGTCAGGAATTGATCAGAATTCGGCAGCAATGTTTATTTCTGACGTCACATAGACATCATCTAACGCCAGATGATGCATGTGTTACCTCAGCACCGATAACAGCTTACGGCGTAAGGTAACGTGACGAAGTAGCGTCTTCAGCTGCCGGAAGCTTGTTTGTTTTTGACCACACTCTTACGTGTGGGCCGCCCGAGTTCTTACGCGTGGAGAAACTTACATCGGCTATTTACTGTCATCATGTAGCAACTGATATGAATGTTTTTTTTCCGTTTCCAGCCGACAGCAGCTTCCTGCTCGCCAACGCCCAAATCGTCGACTTCCCGATTGTCTACTGCAACGAGACATTTTGCAAAATATCGGGCTTCAATCGCGCTGAGGTAAGTCTAGGTATGTTGAGTTACCTTACGGAACTCTCTGCCAAAGTGGGAAGTAAGTTCAAAGTCAAGTTGGCCCGGGGCCACCTTCATTATCTTGACATGACCAAGGAGCATTTCGACGCTGTTTTTGCGATGTATCCAGGGAGGCGGTATCGAACAAGCCACTTAGGCCGGCATGCCAGCACCTCTGCAGAGAGGTTATCATCAGCACTGAGGCGTGATACACTCCTGCGTGCCGCTTTTTGGCCAGTGTTGAGGCCATTGTGGGACTGAGACTGGAATAAATAGAACTTCTGTGTGACACCGCGCAACCTCACCACCTGGCAGCGTTACAAGGCGCATTCCACCTGCTTTGTACTTTTTACCTATTGTTATATCAGACGCGTACAATGTCATCAGTAATATCAGTTGTCTCGAAGTCCCCCTGCGTAGCTCAGCATTTTGATCTGAAGTAGACGACATTGCGGGAGAAATCTCATTCACTCTATCCTCACCACCATAAAGGTAATAAACTGCATTTGCGTTGCTCTTCCCAACTTGCGTGGTCTTGAATGTTTGCAACACAATAATGCGTCAATTTTTTTAGAGGATGCTACAAAGCTTGAAATAATGTGTTTAGACAGATATATATGCGAGCATGGAGCTATTATGCCCGCGAACTCAACGAAACGTTATACTTTGGCTTTGGCTTTGGTTATACTGGCTTTGATTTCTCCCCTGTGGCGTCTACCAAAGTGTCTCTTTTCTAGGCGCATTTTTGGCTTTAGGAATAGAGTATCACATGATCCATGTAACGCACTGGTTCAAAATTCAACTATTGCGCTTCTCGGTTACAGGCCCATGCCTGCTGGGCCAATCACAAACGTTGTTTTCTCCACACCAGTAGCGTTGCCTACGGTGGTTGTCATGACGACGGTCGTTGCGAAGGCAGGGAAAAAGTGTAGTGCTGTTGCAGAGGATTGATGGCCTTGTTTAGACTCGAAAATGATCAAAGTTTATATCGTTAACCTGTCCCCTTTGCAGTCAGACTCCAGCCGGAAAAAATCTCTGAAGTACCATTTTCAGCCGTGCCTTCACTTTTAAACGTACGTCTAGCTCCCCTAAGCTCACTTTCAAACGGAAATTGCTGTCAAAGACTGAATAGTCTTGACGGTATATGGAACAAAGCAACCTGGAGCAAACTGTGTTTGTCAACACTTGAGCATTTTGCGTAACCTACCAAATGGTTTTAGAATATCATGCGATGGCGTCGGGAGTAATCATTGATTCACTATCTAGGTTTTTTGTCATTCTGTGTAGTTTTGCTCCGTAGTGTCTGACTTGCTGAAGATAAACATGAATTTGTGTAACCCTCCGACTAAATTGTATGCGCCTTTGTTCTATCGGCTCGATTTAAAGCCTTCATTCCGGTCACTGCTAGTGCATCGAATCGCGCCGGAATTGTTCAAACGTACGTTTCTGATAGGACACTTTCCTTTATATCTGCATGCATATCCGCAGCGGCTGCTCGTTAGACCAATAAATCTGAGTGCGCAGATTATACGTCTGACATATTTTGTGGGTTTGTGCGGGTGGCGGACCAAGCCTATTAACAAGCGCATGGGTGGGAGTCAAAATAACCCCCGATGGTTTTTCCAGAATGGTTTTTGACCGCCGCGGCACAGCCGCGCCAAATTTTGCGTAGCTGTAGACAATTTAATAGCGGATCGCGTGCTGTCAAAAATTAAATGTTCTTTGTAAGGTCGCTGATCCACGTCAGGTCAAAGTCAGGCCATGGATTCAGCGATGTCAGTTTCTAGGATATCGTTCAAGCTGATTGAAAAACGGGGTGTTAGACGAAGCCATATATCTCTGTGATACCTTTTTAGGCAACACAACGATTGAATGACCAAATCTATTTACCAACGGTCAGGTATTAAGGTCAGACCAGCTTCAAAACCAACCTATTTGATTACCCTAAGGGGCTGCTGTACGGGGTAGTTTCTGGTGCTCATTTCGAGTTTATTGATAATAGGGGCCACATCAGATATCTTTCATGGACTTCTTAAAGGTCATAACAGGTCAATGACCCAAAATGACCCAGGTCAACATGTCGTTTTAGGGGTATACTGCGTCGCGTAATCTATGTCGCTTATCCAAATGCAAAGCTCAAGGCAGTCTTCTATAATTTTGATTACCATGACTTTCAAAAGGTCAAACAAAGTTACTGACCTTAAATGAGCATGCGAACTTTTGTCTAGAACAAGTATCTAGGGTCTAGGGACAATTTGGAGACCAAAATGAAGTTAAACCTTGTTTGATTTCATTTGACCCGAAGATCATGCCCTAAGAACCTGAAACCCTGACCTAAGTGAGTTCATATATAGACCAACAGACCCTCTTATTTTAGCGTCTCCAGTTCTCTTAGTTCCTGAGATCTCAGGGGGAATAAGTTGACCCCCACCCGCGCGAAGGGTGCCCAACCGGCTACCTGGGCCCGTGTTAATGATGGGAATGTTTTACTTCTTCTATGGTTGTACACTGACAAGGGCGGATCTCTTGGAAAAACGCCCTATGTTGATCGTTTTTCTATAGCGAAAGATGGGTCGTTGGTGCGTTGTTAGGTCAGGCCCAGGCAAAGAGAAATGGAATTGTCAAAAGTAAAACCAAGAAAACTAAGACATTTCAAAAACAAATTATGTGCCTCAAGTTCAATGTCAAGGTAACGGTGGAAGTCACTGAGTTAACTGACATCAAACTTTGAGTTTTGTGCGTTTTTTAAACCTCTTTTTCATAACGGTTTGGGAGTTCTCATGCTTGCCATTGACGGACACACTGGCAACATCCCTTGTACTTGGGCTCATGCCGCGCCCTCGCTCGCGGATCTCGCGGCGCCATCAGGGCCCGGATACACAGACGTCTACATCAGAGCACTTCACGGACTGAGTCAATCCGCGGATTGTAGATCCATCCGTGGGCTAGATTGGACCCAATCAGGAATTTCCACCAAAACATATTTAAGGACCGGATTGGATTTTTAAATCTCCAAGCTCGCACGAAGCCCACGGCTTGAAACCAATCAAATGTACGCTATCATTCATAGTCCCTGAAATGATCAATGAAGACATTCAACTGGGAACAGATTCTTTGAACTAAAAAATACGGTGGTCTTACTTCCAAGCAATGCGCAAACAGGCTGCATAATATATAACTCAGGCACATATTCCACAAGCAAATTTTCTAAGGAACAGATCACGTTGACGAATTGATATCAATAAGTGACACTAGCATATGCCGCTATGGAAAACTAGATCTCTCATTTCATGCAGGGTAACTACGATTTCTGATGACCTAATAACCTATTTTATCATAGCATAGCTGCCATTCCTTCTCATCTTGTCAGGAATCCCAACTAACCGCAGCGGGTGACATTGTGTTTTGGAGTTGAAAAACTGGGCAGGAGCATGTTTCGTTGGTAGAGAGAACACGACCTAGTTTTTTTAAATCCAACCTCCTGTCTGAGGATTATAACAATATTATCTCCCTGACAACATCATATTTTCTGTCCTAATAGTCATCCAGCAAGGTTTATGAGTATTACACCAGCTTTAATTTAAGTATACTGCTTCAGCTGATCAATTTCCAGGTGTTTACCTGAAAAAGATTGCCGTATCCTCACATATAAAGTTGTATCCCCTCCCTGACTGATATATCTCAAAGAATGAGCATGATGGCCACTACAACGAGGGACCAAAGTCAACTTTCTCACCCAGCAGTCAGCTCCTTGATGTGAGTTAGGTTTTCTTTGCATCCAGCTAAAAACTTTGATATCAGGTACGTACTTATTGATTTGCACCCTACCTATTCTGCTCCCACATTCATTAGCCATGCTCAAATTGGGTGCCACCCATGCACTTGTATGCCTGCGATTCTCCTGTAATGATCAAGACGTACAAGACACTACGCAAAAAGCCAGGAAATTAATGACATTTAACATGTGTCACCCAGGGCCGTCCATTCGTATAACCTTAAATGAAAGTTCGACAGCATTTAGAGTGGCTTGTACGATCAGCCGAGTCTTTGACAAGGGGTTAGCATGTATAAGAGATGTCAAGGTACCAGCGGTCATGACAGATGTCGGATGACTGGGGAAGTGCACCTCACTCTCGTGCCACGTTTTGTGAATATGGGAGGATTATAAGTGTCTGTTTGGCAGTCACCGTACACGTGAGACGTTACACACTTTGACCAAAACGCTGCGCCGTGTAATAAAGTGCTTGCGTTCGTATTTGTCTCGGCGTGCTGAAAATAACGACAGCAAAAAATGGATACAAAGCGACGTACCACTGTCAGTATATCTCAAAAACGTTGTTTTGAACTGTTTAAATGTGACGTCACGTAATGCGCTGCACAATTGCAAATGCAACAACTTTTCGTATTTTCCAGTATGCGCAAATAAGGGAGATTCGGTAACTTGTGTCATTTTAGCAATGGGGTTCAGAACTGACGCATTCGTTTCATTTTCCTTGATCAAAGAAAACTGCAGATATCTTCCAAGAAGCAGTCGGGTGTGTCGATGATAGTTTTGATGCAGCCGGTAATCTAGCAGGAAATAATGCTCGCGGCTGTATTTTTTTTTTCAGTTGGCGTGTCCGAGAACGGATTCACATTCCAAGCATTGTATATGGGGTGACATGGTCGCTTTAATTATGCAGAAAGCGTGCTAGATAAGCATAGTCCTGCGCTGGCGAACTGGGTGCCGCTGAAACTGTCGAGTGTCATGTAGTCACGGAGTCTGAAAATGCCAGATAATGTGTTCATGTCCAGGTCATTGACATATAAGTGATTTGGTCTCTGTCGTGGCCTCTATGTTGCTGTGGTGATGTGACCTCTATCCTGTCTTGTGAGTTATTCACCAAAACGTACTCCTGGACTAAGGCTAGGCAAAAAGCTACGTAAGGCCGACTTGTGCTATCCGGCGCAAAATAAGGGACAGGGGTAAGCTACGTTACGTTAAAACG